TACATGGAGAACATAAAGACCTCCATCTCCAAGGTTGTTCTCCAGCAACTGGTATTCAGAGACATGATGCCTGTTATCCTTGAGGAAGGATATAGCCATGATAACTAGTAGCCAACAATAGCCTCATTTGCCACCAATTTGTTTAATTCTCTTTAAAAAAACACCTAATTTGGAGGCTGTTATCACACCTGGTTGTAGAAAATGGCACTGTTTTACTAGGTAGTGTATAATTACTTTCTTCCTTTCATATCTTGCATTTCTCATTATTTGATTTCATTGAGAGATTCTCCTTTAATGTTATGAGAAAGAAAAATCTCTCTCTCTCTCTCTCTCTCTCTCTCTCACACACACACACACACACACACACACACACACACACACACAATCTTTACAGAGAAGATATAGGTGTTTAAATGTTGATTTGAATTGCATAGCTTGGCCTATTAGTTATTATAAGTGCCACTCCATAGAACAGGGTAGAACGAGGCAGTCTTTGATTCCTTCTTCTTCTAGGAGTTTTTTGCACTTACTTTTGTTAATGATCCAGGCACTGCCTGGGGACATGCATGAATGAGGGGAAATGGATTTTATCGTACTCAAAATAGTTGGTAAGCCGTCCCCATGCCACTGCTCAACCACAACTGAGCCGCACTGAACTGGCCAATTTTGCAAGGACATAAGCTTTCTGGCTGAGCAAAATCGGCCAGCTCAGCGTGGCTCAGGGATGGGTTGTGGTCAAGCGACAGTATGGTAACAGCTTGCCAGCTGTTTTGAGTGTGATAAAATCTGTTTTCCCTCAATTATGCATGTTCACATGCGTCCCCAGCCAGTGCCCGGATTGTTAAGAAAATTGAGTGCGATAAACTCCCTAGAGCCCTATTCAAATGTCTGACTTAACAAACAAGGAGGGAAACAGGAATGAATGCCCTACCTCTACCCCACTCCATCCTCATTTTTACTGCTCTCTATATATACCAGTAATAAGCTATTCTGATTACTAAGTACTGTGGAAACAGTAAAAATTTCTTTAATTCCTTGGCAGTGCCACATGTGGTTGTGCAGTGTTGAATTATACTTCTCTATTTATCGTTGACCTCTTTCTTTTGTTTTGGTTGTTTATGTCACATCCACAGGGGCATATCTTGTTTGAAGTATTTTTCTGAATTGTTGCCTGATTTGATTTCCTATTGTACTTTGCTATAATAGCAATATAACATGTGCTGATGAGAGTACTGAATATTCATGTGGGTGGTGTTAATTGTCATTTGTCTGTATGCATTTTTGATTTGATTAACATTACCTATTTGGATCAGTGTTGCATCTTTGCTTTGCTTTCTATGGCGATTTCATGTTCCTCTCTTTATCTAATAATTATAGCCCAAGGCAGTTGTTAGATCAAATTAGAGTGTGCCCCTTTGTTATTTCCTGCTTTAGTTTGCTGAATCATATCATTATTTTAGAATAGGCAGATGAAGCAGCTGATACTAATACTATAAATTTGGATGTCTTTGTGTTAGACATCTTCTTATTCTCCCTGTTGCCCATTTGGCTTTAAAGGGGTAGCAAAGATGAAATAATTGTCCAAGTATTGTTGTTGTTATCAGAAGAGCCAGTATGGTGTAGAATTTGAACATTGGACTACGACTTTAGAAACCAGAGTTTGAATCCCTACTCAGCATGGAATCTCACTGGATGACCCTGGGCAAGCCACACTGCCTCAGAGGAAGGCAAAGACAACCCCTCTCTGAACAGATCTTGCCAAGAAGACCCCTGATAGGTTCACCATAGGATCATAATAAGCCAGAAATGGCTTGAAGGCATGCAACAAGCAACAGCCTCAGTAGTCATTACAGTGAAAGTCTGGCGACACTGTTCAAGGAAAACACTGACAAACATGCAGAAATGAATTATGACATTTATGTCATAAGACTTTTGACCTCTACTAACTAGGATGCATTCAATTATATTATACTGATATAGGCCTAAGGAGAACTGACTGTACTTCTGACCCCTCTAGCCCACTATTAAGCTAATGTGAATCGATGCTCAAGCACAGCCACAGCATTCTTAGAATTATGCATTCAAATTAAGCTACACCTTGCTCAACCTTTAACACTGAATTGAAAACCTATAGTGTATGTGCACTACCCAGTTATACCAGTTTCATACAACTCTGAACTATCATGGCCCCATGGAAATCCCAGTATTTGTAGTTTGGCGAGCTATGCAGAATTCTGTCCTAGACAGTTGTTAACTCTTTCAGCTCCCATGGTATACACTACATAATACGCTATAGAACAGGAGTGGGCAAGTGCACTTAGGGTGGGAGCTATTTTTCCTTCCTGTGCCCACCTCATGTTCCGGTGTACCTGAAATGTTGCACTTCTGTCCACCATTTTGACTGACTTTCAAATTTATTTCATTTTACTTTATTTGGATGTTTGCAGGACTCAGGGGGTTAAAGGAATCAAACTGTTGCATTTTTAGCTAATTTTGGGAGATTTTGACCTGAAAAATCAGCCTGAAAAAATAGTTTAAAAATCGGGAAGGGCTTCCGGTGGGTCCAAAGGGCCACACTTAGGGGTTCCAAGAGCCATATGCAGCCCATAGGGCACACTTTGCTTACCCCTACTATAGAATTAAACTGATTTAATTCTCTGTCTTACTTTTCGAGGTAACTTGGGAATCCTGTGATTCTTTACCGTGGAACCATGATAGTTAAAGTGGAACCAATTTGATACTGTGTGGGCCATTAAAACTCAGTAAACATATTAGAACTCTCTAGCAGAAAACTTGTGCCTCATCAAACTACAAATACCAGCATCCATCAAGATGGAGCACAGGTAAAGTGGTATCACACGGATATAACTGCTCTGTGTTTATATCTAAACCTTCTGAACATTAAAGAATTCAAAATCAGTAAACCTCCAGTGGACAGAAAAGAACAGGTGGATATTTTCACTGCTGTTTAGCTTCTAGGATGTAGACTCATTTATAGGTTTCTAACTTGATAATACCTCTGTGCAATCATAGAGATGAAACTCAGTTAGGTTTCGTTTGGTAAACAAGTGGCAGCAAGGTCTTAGATGGGCAAAAGGGATAAAAGACCCTATTAACACTAGCTGCTCTTTGGATACTCAATACCTAGCAACAGTTAACACACAATGGTATCAGAGAACACACCATTTCCTATTTATATAAAGAAAAGGAGAAATCACTGATGTCCTGGAAACTGTTTTATGCTAAAATGGCATGCATGTCATTATCACATTCACCAGATACAACTGCACCAGTCCTATACAATCTTTTCTTATCCTGTCCTGGCTCCATACACAGACTTGTTTAATTTCTAAAGAAAGTAGTGCAACTCCAGTGATTATTATACTCCTCATTAAGTTACGCTAACGTACTGTGCATATGGACAGTTTTCATATGACCAAATGTATTCAGATTGCAAGAAAATGGCATTTCTACTAGTGTAAAGTACCAACCACATTACACTACCAGTAGGAGTTATCACAGAAATGTACCCCAGTGGCAATTTTCTCTTGCTCATACTAAATCTAGAAACACTGTTCAATGTTATTTACTCATTAACCCACACTTTTCTCTTGTTTTCAAAACAGAAGGGTTTATATCAAATTTTCATAGTGGAAGAAGCAGTCTACAGGGTCCCTTCACTTTTATAGTGATAGTGATTCCACTTTAGCTCCTATAGTTCTATCCTGTAGAATGCTTGAATTTGTAATTCAGCTAGATAGCTCTAGGTGCCACACCAAAGTACAAATTCCATGATACCCCAAGATGCATCTATGGCAGTTAAAGAGGAACCATAGCTCTTCTGTAGCTGTGTAGGGCAAAAAAAATGCCTGGGTAAGAAAAAAGAGACATGGCTAAGGATTCTCTGTTGGACCAACGGATAGCACACTAGCCAACTAGGTATTTCTATTTGCCCCAAATACCTGGCATACATAGTCCTTAATGAAATGCAGCAATTAGGTTTGGAAACTTTTGCTTCCGTAGCATTAGGAACCTTCATACTGGCCATCTGTTTTCTGATCTCTCTGAGGATAAGAAAATTGCCTTAGATATTCATTCTTTGCCAACCTCTGGATTTATTTTTCCTGGCAAGATTCATTGTCTCAATTCAGGGATGTTGCACTACTGTAAATCAATTTCAAATAGGCTCCTGTCACTTTTTTGAGTGGAGGACAGCCACATCCACTGCGTGCATAGCTCATGCAGTAAACACAGGGTCAACCTCTTAATGCTGAAGAGTCACATGCTGTTTACAAAAATACCAACAATCTGGGCATGCATCTGCAAAACCATCTCAACCGAGAGTCCAATGAACTTGCTCTCCAAGCTGAATTAGAGATCAGACTTGAGGGTGGCACAAGTTTGTGGTTAAAGGTGAACCACAGCTGAAATGAAAAGCCTGGGAATATATGCCAAAAAAAAACAAAAATCAGAAGGCAAACCATAAAACACATACAGCACAGAACTGTCTCTCATTTGAAAAAAAAATGTAGCAATTTTTGCTTTTCTAGTAATCATGCATTTCTGTGTGACATAGCTGACACCACAAGACCCTTAGCTTAATTCTGTGGTCATGGTACTTGCTTTGGTCTGTCTTCTTAAAAAATACATAAAATACAATGTTCAGAAAAATGTATTTGATGCGACTCTCTCCCATCACACTAACTTTATGAATTTTATTTGTTGAAATTATATGCCATCTTCCTCCAAAGAGCTTAGGGTGACAGTTTGGCTTCAGAATAACCTTCTGATAGAGGTTAAATTGAGAGATAACGCCTTATCCAAAGTATCCTAATAGGCTTCAGGGCCAAGCAGAAATCAGCCTGTAGAACTTTCATGTCTAGATCCAATATTCTTAAGTATGAAATCTTAGTTGTTCTCAAACCCAAACATCAGCAGTTTCCAATGATGATTAGGCTGAAAGATAGTAGAAAATATTATCTAGTAAATTCCCATAGAGAGCCAACATAGGGCAGTGGTTTGAGCACTGGACTACTACTCTAGAGAATAGGGTTCAAATCCCCACTTGGCCATGGAAACCTGCTGGGTGACCATGGGCAAGTCACACTCTCTCAGCCCCAAGAAAATCCTAAAATAGATACATCTTAGAGTCACCATAAGTTGGAAATGACTTGAAGTCACAGACAAGAACAACAAAATTCCCATAACTTTACTAAGATTCTTTGCAAAACCTCAGACCTACATTATCCCAAACTGGAATTTCTCTTACAACATCCCTAGTATATAGTTTCCAGATTGGATCCAGAAGGGATTCATGTAATTTTAATCTTTAAGTAGGACAAGGTACCATAAAGCTCTGTCAAGCAAAATGAAGCTACCTGTCCTCCTTCAGCTCCCAAACCCCCATTTTCTGCTGTAGCCATCCCCTAGCATCATGACTACTCTCCTGCCAGAGGAGATAGGGCAGCAGAGGATCATCCAGCAACAAGAACAGAGCTGCACACTCCCTTGTGCCACCTTCTTTGTGGTACCTCCTCCTGCTTCAAGGTCTGAGAAGGATTAAAATTACAGTAGCCTTGTCCGGGATCAATTCTGGAAACCCTACCAGGATAGTGAGATGAGGGGAAGCTGCCCTGTTATCCAATCCATGTTGGCTGGTTGCTCCTATGCCAGTGGGGTGTTGAACCCACCCTGGGTTTTAATCCAAACTTTAAACATAGGGCCTAATTCAGCTGTCTTCGGCGCAGGGAAGTGGAGGGGCAGCTGCACGCTCGGCGCCCCATCCCCCTCCTGAGGTCGTCCTCGGAGCGGCCGGCCCTCCGCATGGCCGGTGCTCCAAGGAGGACCTCCCGCCGCAGCGTCCAGACACACTGCAGAGGAAGGGTCGCCGAAAGTGCTCCGCAACCTTTTGCAGCACACTTTTGGCAACATATGAAAGGAGCGCTATTTTAGCACTCCTTTCCAGGGATGCCGATGGTGCGCCGCAGGATCGAGGCATGGGGATGACTCAGTCCCGTGGCGCACCTTCCCAGGATGGCCCACGGCCGCCCGTCTGCTTAGGCCCATAGTTTCTAAGATGTTGAACCTATTCTGAGGCATAGATTTCAGCACTTTGAGTGGCTCCTTTAAAGTTTTTACTAAAACCCAGAGCAGATTCACCACCTCATCAACATGGAAGCCCCCAACTGCTGATTTCTCCAATTTGACTTATCTTCAAGGTGTTGACATGAGTCTTTGAAAAAATTGCCCAGGTAGGCAGAGTTGGCTCTAGCCATTAGGCCTAGTGAGGCCAGTATATGAAGGCAGACTCTGGAGACAGCAACAACAAATTCGTCATTTATTTCCTAAGGCTCTGTTGTGAACATGGCCTCGGCCAGCAGGTAGATGGCTTTTAGAGTCCTTCCGAGCATCATAGACAAATGTTAGCTGCATCGTACTTAGTAGACCCTACTAAATAATTTTGCTTTAGCTTGGCAGTTCAAGGCTGAGCAGAGACCTTACCCTGGGTGGAGTGGAGTTTAACCTCATCTCAGGGATCCTATTTGGGAGGGGGTGCTGCAGTAGTTGATAGTCTGGATAGAATTGAGTTGTTTTGGGGGCCCTGCTGGGAGAAGGAAATGCTGGATGGCATCAGTGAAATAACTAGAATGCTTTCTCTGCTACAGACCACCTGCTGCATCCTTTAACAAAAAATAAAGCTAATCTTACAACAGTGATTTTTCTGTAGCAAACTAAACCTTGGGAAGGCAAAGAATTACAGCCAGCTCCAGCTCAGAACAGGTCCCTAGCCATTTCTCCTCTGTTGGAAGATGGAGCAGTGGCACCTAAGACCAAACCTGGGATAATCTGTAGCAATATATGTGCTCTACCACTGAGCTGCAGCCCTATTCTCTGTTGGCTATGGTTTAAAAGAAATAGCAGGATCATAATTTTTGCAATAGAAAAATATGCTGGGGGGGGGAGAGTCCATAAAGACCAAAAAAAAAAAAAATCCAATCCCTTCACATCTTTTCAGCATAAAAAAAACACGTGTTCTTTAATATTCATGGGGATGCAGCTTCAATCAGGCAGCATCACACTGTGCTGTACCACAAAACAGCTGTGCTTTCTTTTAGCTAACTTGACTTTTGTCCTTGCCTAGCCACTGATGGTGGCATTCAAGGATTTGCTGACCATCAGGGGAGAAAGACCGCCAACATCCCCTCCCATCAATCAGCAGAATGTCGCAAAGACTGTTGCATGTCAGAGTACAATCAAGAATAAGAAAAACACCCAGCACTCCATGTATTTCTGTCCATTTCCATAGAGGTATACATGCTTTTTGACTATTAATCTTTTTCACATTTCAGGTATTCTCTGCTGCAATTGTGATGTTGAAAGGAAACCGAGCCAGAGAATAGCATAGTTCTTGTGAATAGTTGAGGATAAGGGAGGAGTTATGCTACATTTTACAGAAAAAGGAAACAGAGGGGTTGGGATTTTAGCATGGGATTTGGGGAACTACCCAGGCATGAGGGCCCTTAGAGGTTGCACATACAGCCCTCATGGAAATACAGTACTCTTTGCCCATTCTGTTTTACCATAATAAATCAGGGCCAGTGGCTTTGCCAGCTTGGAGTTTCTGGGAGCTGTAGTTCAACAAAATATCTTTGTCAAACATTGCTATAAACTCACTGTTATTATGTTGTCATACAAAAATGGAAGTTTGTACTTTAACCTAAATAACTGGAGATGTTGGGAATTTAACACACAGTCATTACCTTTAAAGTTTCCTCTTAAATCTCAGTTCTTCCCCCCACCCTCTTTTAGTAGAGGCAAAGCAAAGATGAATCGTTGAAAAATGAAAACAGTGAGGACTAGAAATGTTTTCCTTTCCAAAGCCTCATTTATGAAAGCTCACAAATAATGAATAATGAAAGCTCACAAATAATGAAAGCTCACAATTTACATATTCACACAAATCTAATACTGCACCTAGCATGTTTAACACACTCAAAACAAACCTAATGGCAGCAACACGAGGCAGTTGTTAAAGCCCAACATACTATCCTCAGTATCCATCTGTGGCAGATGAACAACTGTTTTTATTTTATGTTATAAAGCTTCCCTGCAAAAATGCTGACAACAGTACAGATTTTTGAGCACTTTCCCTCCTTCTCTATCTACAGCATTCTGGATTTACACAGATTTTTTTGTTATTTGGGGAGCATCTACTTTAGAGGTTTTATAGCAGAAACCATTATATAATAATAATTCAGATTCCATAGAGAGTGATACAGAATAACTCTTGCAAGTTGCAAAGTGGTTTTGTAGATGATACGATTGTATTTATATTTTGTTACCCCACGGCCATGTTGGAAGGCAGATTTAAAAAAATACCTTTTGATTTTCGTTTTTGCCCATGTGGTTCGGGCGCTGTTGAAACCAATGAGCATGTTCTCCTTTACTGTCAATTTTATAGGGATGCCCGTCACCAACTGATTAGCCCACTATTGAGTAAATTCCCAGGGAAATCCGATTCTTTTTATTTACGCCTCCTATTAGACAACAACGACCCTACAGTATCCCATACGGTGGCCAAATTTTGTTACATTGTCTGTAAACTGCACCCTCAATTGACAAATGGACATCTTATTATTGTGTAGAAAGATTTGGTTGGATATTGTACCTATATAGTTTATTTTTAGTTTGTATATTAACTTGCTGTTCATATTTTTATATTTTTATACTGGTCAAAGACCGAATAAATTGAATTGTATTGTATTGTATATTTTGTTACACTGGCATATTTCTCTTCCTCCTTATATCTCAGGGTATCATTTTGAGGGACCTGACTCAGAAGCCATGTGGCTAGGCACACAATTTTGAGCTGTAACTTCCAAAACATTGATACCACTCGCAACATGCTGGCAGCCATCAGTGAAAACTATGGCCATGCACTAGCAACACAGAATCTGTCTGTAGAGAAGGTCCTATGGCTGCCGTATGCCATCAGTGATCTGCCCCTTACACACACAAACAGAGAGAGAGATCTTTGCTTTAAAACAAACTATAATGGTTGGGCATGCACCTCCTTTTTAAGGCATATTGCCCAAAGCCTTACAGAAGCACGATGCAGTTTAAAAGTGAGGTGCACCTTCCCCCATGCATGTGTTGTTTAAAAATGAAAGACCTCTCTGCCACCGTGATGCTAAAACCTGATGGCACTATTGCATGGACTCTGTGGATTCAGAAAGTGCTAATGTGTCCTGGAGCCCTAGAAACTGTCCATCTCTGCCATAAACTATTTAAATGCTATGCAAGCTATAACATCAGGGATGTAAAAGAAGTTTGCAGGGTTTTTTCCATCCTTGAAGAGGAGGCTCTCGTGCATCTCTTAACACAATGCAAGGGTGTTTTTTTCACATTTTGCAGTGAATATTTATTTATTTATCTATTTGCACTTTCAACTCTTTTTGCAAAAATTATGTTTTCTTTTTTTAAAAAAAACAGTATTTGGGCCAAAAATACATGTTACAAATTTTTTTTTAACAAGATTATTTTTAAAATGTGATCAAAAATACAAATCTTGCCCAGTGGGAAGAAAACTGTGTCCTTGTCTCATTTTGCTATGTAACAATGAAATTATAATAAATATATAAATAATACATGACCCTACTATATATTCTAATAAAAATAAATATTCTAATAAAAGTAAATTACCCTTGAGAAAATGTGTATAAAAACCCTATACACATTTTCTCAAGGGTACATCCCATAAATAGGGCAAAAGAGATGGCAAATAGCTATCCCTCAGTGAGATTTACCCATGAGTGGACATGCATAGGACTGCACTTTGATGGGAGAATATTTCAAATGCCAGGAGCATTTTAAAACACCTGAAAATTGTGCCTATAATTCCCATTCTGAATTTGGACCCTATTTTCCCAGCTAAAAGGCCTCTTCCCACAACATTTAATAATCTAGCCTATCTCACTGTGGTTCAACAGCCCAATGGAGTTTGTGCAGAAAACAAGCAAGTTATGGCAAGAAGATGGCGATATAGAACTGAGCTATTAGATTCATGGGGGA